ATATTATTCTAAAATAAATATCGGCTCTACGACCTTAAGGTAATTGTATTTCACAAACGCAAGGAACGCATACAAAGTCTACTCTAACAGTTTTCAAAATGTAAACACATTTGAATCGAAACAGTTATATGAATATAGCTTTTATGCACATAAATATAGGGTTCATTATGTTAATATATACCATAGCATGCATTCCGCATAACATAGTGTTGGTACAGTTACTTAGGTGTATTTTACACTTAATATATTCACTTATAAATTTTATAATATAATATAAGAGTTTACCAAAGAGGTTTTTATTCAATAAGTTTTTATAATTATAATATTAATTTTATTTGTGTAACGTGTAACAGTAGGTAGATACATATCAGTTTTCTTTTGAGGCAAATCTGCGGTTTTAGGTTATTTCGTCTAATCGATACCTTGAATATGTTTGTAATTTAATATTTATATACCTAAAAGATAGTAAAAGAAATATTATCTTATAATTTTGTCATTTTGTTTATTTTTATTCCGTAACAGCTTTCGTTGAACTCTATATAAGCGTGTGACCGTAAAGTTAGGAATTCTCTTGCACACGATATTTTGTTTAGAAACTATATATTAGTTAAAATATTATTGAATTTACTTTAAAATATATAGAAATATCTATGTTTATAATGAAAACTTTAATATTTTCGTATATTTTGTATACATATTATAAAGAAAAAAGGAATTAAAAAGAATTATTGTTTGTAATAACGCCGACATAAAATCGTCGTACATACATGCCAACCTTTTATATTTGTAATAAGTAAAAAAGCGTGAAACCGTCTGAACGCGTGTAAGGCTTCCTTGTTGTAAGCTCAAATAAAATAAAAACAACATACCAGTATTGCTGTTTAAATCCACAGATTTTTAAAATGAACCAAACACAAAACACATGCACTATAACACAATTTGTTTGTTGTACAGGCTGGTGAAGTGTACGTGGCGTCGGTACAACGCGATGCGCGCTACTGAGACCGGTCCGTGATTTCTCCGAGCAACGAAAGCAAGCCTTCGCGCCTTTCTTGATTCGTGACGAAACTCATCATCCCCTACCACGGTTTAGAGATTTTATATAGTTTATTCGATTAAATCTTTGAACTTTTCGTGTTTTATTTATTGATTGTTGCTCTCGACACGTAAGATTCCTTAACTTGTACTTAGATAAATGAAATTATTTTTGACGAATAATGAATTGAAATGTTTAGATATTAATTTAAAATATCTAAGAACAGACATATTATTCAAGAATGAACTCAAGAATGTTTTTAAATTATATGAAGACGATTTTATTTTAATCTTGAGGCTTGCCGTTGCGAGTCTAAAATGAGTGGTTACATGGTAGGGGCGTCGAAGGCTTTCTTTCTACTCATAAAACGTTTGATGACGTCTGCCGGTCAGGATACAACGAAATCGGTCAAGGTACCCAAATTTAAATAACCCACCAGCTTTAGAATGTGACTCAAACAAGACCTCGCACCAAAAGGATCTACTACATTAAAAAATTCTAATGCATCTGTACACTGAATTTTAAATTTTATTCAATACGTATTATAATGATTTTAGTATACCTTTTGTTATTTATAACAAAACTTGCTACTGCAATATTAGAAAGAAGTTTTTGTCTTATTTTGAATTAATTGTATATTGACTCTTAAGTTTATTTTAATATGACTTTTATGTATAATAACTGAACGAGACTTTTTTCAGGTTCGATTATTTTAATTTTATTTAAAAACATTCTTCATTCTCGTTAGGAAAATAAATAAATACTGTATATTAAAAATTCAACTTCAGCATAGGTATATGAACATTCATGCATTTTTAAAGTAATTATAGTAACCAAATATGTTGTTTTATGTTGACATATATTTATATGATGCTTTTTTGGTCTTTCTTATAATATTATTCAATAATATTCCTTTCTACGTGCCATACTTTAAACAATGCTTGGGTTTTTTATGTCTCTGTATTGCATGCTTTGAGCAAAAAACTCGGTAAGGTGTGCGTATTACAAAACAAGACGCTGTTATAAATATGAACGTATTTCAATGCTCGTTACTCAATAGCTGAAGGGATTTAATTTGATTTTTTTAATCGTTTTATTTCATTAGTAGACTTTTTATTTATAAGACTTTTAATGCAGTTGCTATTATAAATTCTTCAAGCTAATTAGATATTTTCCATTTTTTTTAAACATGAAAATTCCAAAATATATAATAATATTTTTTATTATTTTAACATCTGACAAGGCAGTACTGATCTCACTTAGAGAATAATATTATATTGATTTTATTAGTGCATTCAGAGCCTGCGTGTAGTCAGTGAGCAATGATACAAGTTATTGATATAATTTAAAATAATTCAGACATCAAGTTGTTATAAAATACAAAAAAATTTAATTGAAGATAATCCTGAAAAGCGAACAGTTTCGAAAGGGCAAACTTTATAAAAAGATTGTAGGGTTCATATCTTAAGCCCAAAAAAGGTAGAAAATGATGTAAAACGTTTAGGCACCGAATGACAGATGACAGATACGAAGTAAATAAAAGGTGTTACGAAAAAACAATTAAGTCCAAAGAATTCCTACTTTTGCAAGTTTATCATGAGTTTTGATGAACATAAATAATATGATTATAAATAAATATAATTAAAAGAATTGATTACACTTAATTTGGATGAATAAGAAGTAATTAGTTAATTGGAAGTGGTTTGTTGTTTTATGAAACCAAGACTGAAGTGTGTTAATATCTTCAAAATGTATTTCTATAATAGACTAGTTTTTGCCCGCGACTTCGTCTGCGTTAGTTTCAGAATTAGAAATGTATATCTGACTGAGTGAACTCTATTCCTCCTTAAAGATTTTTTCTCGGCGGCATCGTAACGTAATTAATCAAAGTGAGAAAATTTCTCGTTTACTTGAATGATTGACATATTAGTTAGTTGTCAAATCTAATGTCAAAAAAGCCGTTTGTATGGGAAATAGCAAAGGGCCGTTTTTAGGGTTTTCCCAGTAATTAATAATTTTTTTTCAGCTTTTATACCTTCCCTGAACCTTCACGAACATTTCAAGACTAAGATAAGATAAATCCGTTCAGCTGTTCTCGAGTTTTAGCGAGACTAAGGAACAGCAATCCATTTTTATATATATAGAAGAAGAAGATAATAATTTTATCGTCGGTAGCACTCATCTTGATTTCTAATTTTAATCTGTGTATTACACATTGCGGAATACATAACTGATGCCAATATTCGAATTACAGACGACTGTTAAAATCTAAGTATATTTACTTAAATCATTGATGGCAATAGTACACAAATACAATGTACTCATTATCATATTAGCATTGGCTGTTCTGTTGTATGCCTTTTACTTTACCCCTTCTCCAAAGCTGCCTGGAATGCGACATACGTTTGACGAAAGAAAATTAAAGCGATGAAATAAGTTGAACTTAAAAATAACATCGTATTTATATTACATATCTATCCCCATTGATATAAAGATTAAATTGTAGAATACTGTTGTCTTTTGTATATCAAAGTTAAGATTCTTTAGAGTCGCAAACGTTTTAAAAGTTATTAAAAAAAACTTTTTTTTATACTATGTAAATATTAATGAATTTGACGTATCTTTTAGATCATTGAAGCAAGTGAGACAGTAAACAGCGGATCCATTAACACCATAAAACACAAACACACAAAACGTATCACGCACACTGTTATCTATTTGTTCAAATGGTTTATAGTTTAGAATTCTTTTCAACACAATCACAGGATGTATGGAAATGTCTACAAATTGTGCTACAAAGACACGCTCCAAACATATTGTTAATAAACATAACAAAACTTTTTGGATTATTGTCAAAATTATTTGGAGATGGGTATTTCTGTACTCCATTCCTCAAAAAGTTAACTCATGTGGCATGATCAGACATCATTTGTTAAGGATATTTATATTATGAACACATAGATCGGAAGCTAAAATAAATTTCAAATACATACTCCAATTTAATAACCGGGTAAAAAAGATCTTATATATCCAAATCCATTCAATATATGGATCTATTTTAACATTAGAAAAGTAACCAAATAGGCTTTATTTCCCTAGTCAAGGATTTTTACTACAATCTAATCTATATATTAAAGCTATAATTTGCATTAGATTTTCCTTGATATTAATATTTTCTTTTTTTTTTCAATACGCCTTTAAAATTTTTGATAACTTAATTTAGTAATTGAAACTTTTTGTGTCCGTTAATTGCACATTTAGACAAACCAATATGCAAAGAGAATGTACATTTTTTTATAAATAAATATCAAATAGTTAAACAAGTCATTATTAACCATTTAAAAATCTATAGCTTCTTATATAGAAATGTGTAGGCATGTGTTAGTGTAACAACTATGGAGAAAAAATCCGATACTATTAATAAAGATAAGTTACACAGATACAAAATAAATTCAATTTAATAAAACTATAAATTATAAAACAAACAGGTATGTAGAGTTTCTTTAATAAAATTATTTTTTACAAAAAAAGGGCTTATGACCATTATTCAACTTTAATGAGCTAAATATCTTATTTCAAATTTGGTATTTAACCTAAACTAGACCAAAAATAGATTAATCCTACATCTTTAAATTAACTGTGGAAGATATCATCATTTTGACTTTCAAACCGAAAGTCCATAAATATTAATTAACATTAAATATTAATATAAATATATAATTAAAATAATAGATATATAAAAATTAAAACATCTTATCACATTGGTATAAGGTATCAATTAATAACAAATACTATTATATATACTTTTATTAAGAGGTCCACTCTAAAAATTTTAAATTATCAACGACAGTTACCACACAATTTCATACACAATTTAACAACTAAGGCACCTTTTTATTTCATACATTTTTCACTCACAAAACAATTTATTTATATTCGAATGGGTTTCAATCTTCTAGTTTTTTCACTCTGAAAAATAAATACCGATATATAATTATTGCCATATAAAAAAATACATAAAATATGTTTTTAATAATTTTAATGTCTTTTCATACCTTCAGTTATTTTCTTTTTAACCTCACCGTTGGTAGCGTCTTGTGGGAAAAAATAACTTTTCTTTTTTTTAATATAAGTAGCGTCAAGGTGATCTCTGAAAAGAAATAAACAAATTTAAAATACTTCAAATAGTGATGTAAAATTAATGATATGATAAATGATGTAATTATTCAAGTACTAAACTAATATACATCCTGCTCATCACTAGTTTTCATCGCCACAGTACCTACGTGTTTTCAATATCTCATTCAATACTAAAGTTAGTAATAAATGAAAAAAAATTGTCAACGCTTAATAGATGGTGTGACGATTCAAACTTGTTCTAAGCATATCGTTATTAGTATTTAATATAAATCTCTCTAAATGTTCAAACTAATTCAACGATGTTTAATACATAGTTCTGCAATATTTACATATACATACATATATGTAACAATATTCTAAACGAACAATTATAATACAGAGGTATCTCAATCTATATTACATATAATCAATCAAACTGCAAAAATTTATAAACAGTTTTGCAGAACTATGCACTTACAATATTACAGCGAGTCCCTTCTTTTAAATATATGCCATATTCCTGATATGTTTTTATAGAACATGTACTTCTCATTGTGCCTAGAACGACAAAATATATATGACATATATATACTAACATATAATATATATGTATAATAATATAAGAGTAAGGGCATAGTCCGCAAACCGCTATCACATCAGAATAACCTCTCGCGTGATATATCTCATTATATTAGACAACACGTTATATTTGGCCACGTCAAATCCGTATTGTATGATATTGTTAGCGCAGTACTCGGACATCGGAGCGACACACGCGTTGTATATTAGTAAAGCTAACAGCCATTTCTGTGTACGGCCATTAGTTTGCAACCTTCTCTCAGACTGGGGACGCACTCGTGTTAACTCCTTCGGACTCGATACTGATTTGTCTTCGGAATTCATTTTATTCAACTCTTCCGATGATTCGAATCTGTTGTATATATACTTTATAATGAATTGTTAGTATCATGTTACATATTGTATTTAACATACCGTTTGTCAAAGTATGAAGAGGGCGGTGTTGTTTCTAATGAGTAGTCTGTACTGGACGGCTGTGGAAAAAGAATATTTTTAATATTAATAAAATAAAACTATGTTAATACTATCTAAAATATGGAATAAAAAATCGACACAAGCGGGATCTGAACTTATATCCTTTGAATTATGTCGTTACAATTGCTAAACCTTATAATCTACCCTGCCCTGAATAAAGCTCTACCCTAGTGTTGAAGCATATACAAACTATTGGCATAGACCAACAATATAAAAGTCTATGGAAAGGTATTATAATCCCAAAATGGGAATTCTTGGTAAATTATAAATGAATATTTCAAAAGACATAGCGTCTTGGATATTGCAAATCGACGTAACTACCATTGGATAATTTCGCGTATCTACATTGGAAGCAGATTATCAGAAAAAAGTTTAAGCTAAAATATTTTCTAAATTAACGACTTTTAAGGTAATTTTTCACAGGCACTAATTGTTTAATGTTTAATTTAATGCTAATTGTGAAAAAAATCTTAAAAGTCGTTAATTTAGAAAATATTGCAGCTTAAACTTTTTTCTGATAATCTGCTCCCAATGTAGATATCCGGAATAATACAATGGTAGTTACGCGGATTTGGACTATCCCCGAAGATATGTATTTACTATTTACTAATAATAATTGAATATCAAAAGATTCCTATTATCATATTATATTTTATGTGTACTAACATTATTCTCCTTATCCTCGCTGTCGGAGGACACCCTCCTATTCTTGCACAGTTCCGCCTGACACCTACATCCGGTTCCGCATCCGCGTTGGGATTTAACACATCCGCACATCTTAGTGGAGCAGCTGCCGCGGCAAGTGCAGTGAGTAGCGCCGTCGTTTGAACGCTTGATGGCTCTGTTCTCGTCCATAGTGAAATTCATTGTGAGACGAGAACGCTGCGCCTGAGTTATATTTGATACAGATTATTTAAAGAAAATGGTATTGTAATAGATTTGTTAGCAAGACTTATATAATAATTTCATTCGAAATTCTTTGATATGACAGTAAATTGTCCGTATTCTGATGCGCCAGAAAATGACGTCATTAAAAATATGACACTCAAAATCGTTAGATTATAATGTATGAGATAAAATCACAAATTTTCATGTACATCCTTCTACAGTGATAGTGTACCTGTATTCTCTTGAACAGAGGCGTCGCCCTCCAGTCAGGATCTTTGTCAGGGTCCTCGACTTCGTCATCTTCTTCATCAGTCGGCTCCACATATTCCACCTTTTTAACAGTTTCCATCGAGCTATCTTTCTTGCTGCGTTTCTTTGCCTTTTTACTAGCGTTTCTTAGCTCTTCTAATTCATCAGCCAATTTTTTCTGTAAAAATAAATTAAAAATTTGAGAAATAATCCATTTATGAGCTACCGTGGGTTTATACATATTTTTTTTAATGGAATTGCAAATAAAAAGCAGGCAAGCCTTTTGTGACTTTCAATCTTCTATTCACTTGAGGTTGCTCACATTTCAAACAGGAATTCAGTAGTTATTCTTCCAGTTATTTGGGACTAAGTCACCACATTCGTGTGATGTTTGATATAAAAAAGATGTTTGTAGATATTAGTGATATTAGAGGATATAAAATAATTACTACACACGAATTTACAGCCCATCCAACCCTCCCCGCTGTCACAAATTTACACATTCCATACTCCCCCTCTTTTTTAAAGTGACGTCATATGTTTTTTTTTAATTTCGTGACGGCATTTAAGATGATTCCTAAGGTATCCACACAGTAGAAAATCACTAAATGAGAATTTAAACCTACTTAAAACCGTACTATTGACAACTCTTAAGAATTGTAAGCATCTCAATTGCGTAGCATAACTTCTATAAAATCTCATAACGACAAGTCCATATTTAAAGATTCTTTTATAAAAATATTGTATGTTTTTTTACAATGTATTATGAATTTTAATATAAGGTGTCACAAAACCTTCAATACCTACCTACTCATTCAACTTCAAGGTGTGACGTAATTTATGCATGTCTGCTCAAAACAAAGCGATACATAGACATCATATAATCTTATAAATAAAATTATCTTGTCATAATATTCGTCCCCGTACTCCCCTGAAACGGCTTGTCCGATTCTCATGAAATTTTGTGATAATATTGAGTAGGTCTGAGAATCAGCAAATATCTATTTTTCATAACCCTTAGTGATTAGGGTTGTCACTCTAAATATTTTTATTAATTTGTAGATATTTCTTTTATATCTTCATTTATTAAAAAAATACACAGGTAAAATCCTAAACTTTGACATCACCAACCCTTATATGTGGTATAACAAAATTTTGCCAGGTCAGCTAGTAGATAGATATCCGACTAATATTATAATTGCAAAAGTTTGTGAATGTGTATGTTTGTTACCTCTTCACGCTCAAACGGCTCAACCGATTTTGATAAAATTTTGTATACAGGAAGCTGACGTCCAGGAATAACACATAGGCTACTGTACATCCCGGAAATCCGCGCGTAACACCGCGGGGCGCATCTAGTATATCTATAGTTTTTACTCACATTCTCCTGTTCCATTTGTTCCAAGCGATCCTGTTGATACTGTATAACATTCTGCAGGTGCCGGCAGGCCTCACTCCGCTCCCCGCGACCGACGACGCCGCGCTGCAGCGCCACTAATGCACTTAGCTACACAAAAAAAAATACATTTAGCAAATATATCAGGGTGATTGTATATACTTTATTCATGTAATTTATGAAAATGACTTATTTGAATGATTTTTGCATAACAAGCTATGATAAGGGAGAATTTATGCTTTAATTTTTAATTAGGCCTAAATGAGTGCATTTTGTCAATACATACATGTATACTTTATATTAATCTATGAATATGCATTATTTGAATGATTGCATAACAAGCTATAATAAGGCAGAATTTATGCTTTATTCTACTTTAATCTTTAAATTGAGCCTAAATAGTGCATTTTGTCAATACATATATGTTTTTAAACATTTAATATGTATGTAATATAACCTTCTGTTCGTTCTGTAACTTCACAGAAGCCAGTTGCCGTTCAAACTCAGTCTTAGTAGTTTCAAACTCCACAGCCAGTCTGTCGTATGATTCTTTGATCTCTTCGTATCTCGCCTGATAGCCCTTCTCACTCTGATTCTGTAGTTCCCTCTTAGCGTCCACGAGTAGTTCAAACAGACATTTCAGCGCTACCTTCGCTTCAAGCATAGATTGTATGTTGTCCCATTGTGTACGTGATTTATTTTCTGTAAATATTCAATTGTATTACATATGATATCATATATATGATTACAATTGTTTTATATAATCAATTTAATATCTTATAGTCTATATTTGAAATAAAATAATATAAGTTTTGTTATTTTTTGTTATTGTTGTGATTTAAATAGAATTTTGGTAACAAGTTCAAGATTAAATACAGTAAAGTATATTTTTCAAGATTGATTATAGAGCAATTATAGATATTTTAGTATTCTAGGTACACACCCTGATCAGCTGTGAGTATCTTCTGTTGTAGGTCTGATATCTGTGCCTTCCGTAACGCGAGGTCGTCCTCAAGTTCCGTAATTTTCTTTCTATTAGCTTCATCGTCCGTACTGTTACGGAGATTCTCAATCTGTTCCGTTATCCAAGCCCTGATAAACGTCAAAGTATTTGAAGATGTTAGTAGTATCATTCAAACCAAGTAATAATAGTCGAAGGTACTGTATTTTGTCATTGTTATATAATCTAAAGATAAATATGGACATACTTGTATTTATCAACATTTCATTTCATGTAAAAAAATATATACCATCGAACAAGAATACGTAACACGTATTTGGTAAAGTATAAAGATATTTTTTTCATAATTAGCAATCAAATACTGAATAATTACTAATAGTGAAAAAAATAAATTAAAAGTCGTTAATTTAATAAATATTTCAGCTTAAACATTTTCTGATAATCTGCTTCCAATGTAGATACGCGGAATTATCCAATGCTAGTTACGCAGATTTGCACTATCCCCGACGATATTTATTCATTTAATTCTATATACCTGTATTCCATGAGTTCTTCAAGTGATCTCTCAGCCTCCACTATACTGAGATGCACTTCCAATTCTTGTTCTATATATTGTTGTAACGCACCAGCCTTCACGCTGCCTTTAGCATTCCGCTTCATGGCTGTATGCTTCTGACGATCCAGAGCTTCCTACAAACATATTAATTATTTTTATTTGAATTAATCCTGTATTAATAGCTTATAATGGATATTTTTATATATGATACACATTTTGATAGAAATATGTATGTGCTTATTGCCGCGATCGTAAATAGGCCTAATATGTTAGTTATTTGCAAACATCTAGTCCTTGCAGATTTTATCTTTTAAGGTATATTTTTGGTTCCATAAAGAATGATAAAGATACAAGAGATACACCATAATTTTACACCAACAAACCGATTTTTAGTATGATATGTTAAAATTATTGTAAATATGTACTTAAATTCTTATTTTAAAATAATATTTTTCTTTGATGAAAAAGAACACACGTACCTATAAAACATTAGTTTGATTTTATATCCTCAAATGAGGAGAATATATTTGTTTTTCTTTACTTGTACATGGCAAAAAGCATGAGCAACAAAATGAAAACACTAATTATTATCAAAGTGTAAATTGTTATACCATTGCTTACAAAACATAGTATAGGCACCGGCACGTAAAGTGGAAAGGTTTTCATTGAGTGGGAATAAGTTTACGCGTGTACACTTAGTGAAACAAAAAGTGGCCACTTTTGATGCTTATCAGTGATAAAAATTTACAACAGTAACAAAAGCAATACATCCAATTAAAGTGCTCGCAAGTGTACTCCTGAGCGAACATTAAATCAAGCGCACGGACTTATATCTATGACACCTAAAAATCGCATTCTGTTCATCTACCGTCTCTTGCCAATTTACATGGCTGCTATTATATATATATTAAACCTATAGACAATCTCAAGTTACGTTTCGCGGTTTCAACTATCATACCTATGGACAACACAATTCCTACCTTCAGTCTCATAAATATGTTATATATGTTATATGTCACCGGAAAATAACAAGACTCGTAAGTTGATCAATTCTCTAGGTAGTTGATCAACTCTCGGAAAATAATTAACGGCAGTTGAAATGTGCTATTTAACGCATGTATTTTTGTATGTATAACATATATATTATACTTTAAACCTATGAATAATCTCCCATACATATCAGCTACTATATATATTATATTAACCCTATACCCATCTCCCACCTTGAGCCTCCTATTTACAGCCACAGCTTCCTCCATTTTCCTCTTGAGTACGTTCTGTTGCTTCGCGTGTAGTGACTCCATCTTGGCCATGGCCGTAGCCCTCTTCCGATCTTCGTTTCTTAACCGCAGCATAGCTCGCTCGTTGTCAGCCTTCCACTTACGGAATTTCTCACTCTCTTCACGCATTTGACGGATTATTTTAACCTTGATAGAACAAAATGAATTAATATTTATAACAACTATGAATACCAATCGAAATCGAGGCCAATATGTTAGTGTTATACAAACATATACGTAATTCTTGCAGATTTCTTTGGTGTTTTAATTTAAAGCATTTTCATTTTGGTTGCATAGAGAAGGATAAAAATACAAGAGATAAACCGTAACTTTAACGCCCTCTAATAAAATCCTATTTTAATTTATGGTGGAACACACTACATATAAGTAACATAGTATTATGTTAACATATTAAATAGCCTATAGTATTATGTATTCTTTAGCCTTTATATATTTTAATCTTTCAAAATATGTATCTACATCCTTATTATTACCTTAGTAGCTTTCATAGCTTGTAGTTCAGCGTTCAGCGCCGCGATCTTAGCCTCATTCTTTTCCTTCATCTTTATAATGTTCGCTTGTTGTTGACACTTCTTCTTCAAATCGGATATCTCTTGTTCCAGGGTAGAAACTTTCGTACGACGTTCTTCCATTGACGGATCTTTGCTCTGAAGAATCGATTAAATAAATATATTATTGTTATAAACATACTTTATGCATTTATAAATACGCACACACACACATATATATTTGTATGTGTGTATATATGTATATAACATTTTATTTTATTTGGATAACCAACAAAAGAAAACAATATTACATTCATTTCATTATCAAACTATTAACATTAACTTAAATGTCCTTTTAATTATTGGCTATCACATCATGCAAAATATAATAATTGTAGTATATCAAGATTTAAATTATAAAACAATAATAATAAATTAACATTACATAATAATCAATAACATTTCAATATAACACAAAGTTTTAAAATATCACAAAATTAAATTTAATTACACATTACCTTAGATTGTTTTAATTGCTGCATGAGTTCATCTCTTTGTTTTTCTAATTGCGATATTCTTTCTTCGTTTTCTTTCAAATTGTTGTGACTATCCAATATTTCCTTGTTGTTAGCCAGTATAGCTTGAACCACGGATGCCTTGATCGCCATAGCGCGATTAAGCTCTTGTAATTCTTGATTGAGTGCAACCTGAAAAAAAATAATAATATTGAGGATGCCATAAATTATTACATAAGCTTTTTAAGTAAAAAATTCATAGATACGAGCCGGATTCAAACCTGCTAACTCGGAAATATCAACTTCATATTGAATTATCAATTAAGCCTGGTCTGTTGACAAGCAAGACGTTCTCGAGGAAATTTTTAATACAACAAACGCTATATACATTTAGTATTTAGTTTTTGACATGTATAATTATTAATCAGTTAGGATATAAACAAAATTATTGATAATGAGATTTAAAACTTTTGCGAGTGTTCATTTACATGAAACTAATATTATTCGGATTACTGCAAGTATTTTATTATTTCACATTTATACCCATCTCGTCTGCCCGTGATCACGTAGTAATGCAGAAAATATTCATAATAATTCAAAAAATATTAGTATCATTTAAAATTACTGACGTTATATTATTGTAGTTTCAATATAACGTCAGTGATATTGCAAATCGGCATAACTACTAATGTATAATTCCGCATATCTACATTGGACGCAATTATCAGAAGAAAGTTTGAGTTGAAATATTTTCTAAACGACTTTTTTATATTTTACTTTTACAATTTGTAATTATTTGGTGTATATATCAGCTCAAACTTCTGATAATCTGCTTCCAATGTAGATACGCTTAATTATACATTGGTAGTTACAAGGATTTGCAATATCACTGACTTTATATTAAAACAAGAATAATATAATGTCAGTAATTTTAAATGAGACTAATATTTATGAATTACTACAAATATTTTCTTGATTACAACGTGATCCCGGGCAGACGACATGTGTATACATGTGAAATAATAAAACACGCGTAGTAATCCGAATGATATTACTATCATTTTGCCTATACCCGACTACATATAATATACAGGGTGACTGGTGAATTACTATCGATACTTGAGGACGTGATATTTGACGATCATATATGACAGAATAAAAATTAATATAACATAAATATTAATAAACTTCTAAGTAAAGTTAACCAAAAGTTATGTAATTAATTACGCATCGTGTGAACACCCTACAGATTAGGTATACACACACACTCACACACGCGCGTGCGGCGGCGTAGTGTTGAATCAGCACGCCGCCGCACGCGTCCACACTTGGAACACTTGGAACGTGTCAACACTTTATTTATTTATACGGAAATTTTGTCAAAAATTAAGTGCCTATTTGTTTTACATAATTCGAATGAGAATCATGTACCGAGTATTCTCCTTAAATATTGATAGTAATTCACCAGTCACCCTGTATAATATAAATTAATTCTCACCTGTCCCATAGCACGTTTTTCTTCCTCAATCACAGCCTGATCCTCATTCATAACTACATCCTCATCGATTTTTTCTCCGTCAATATCTTCTTTAACAAACGACAGCTTAATCTCGTGATCTATCAACTCTTCATTAGTCTTCAAGTTAACTGACTGTAAGTCTTCTAACCTAGTTTTAATCTCCTTCAAGTAATCCACTACTGTTGATTTCTGAGCATCATCTTGTGAGTTATCTGTTACGTTTAGATTTTCTATAGTCTGATTGCAGTGTTCCGTCATTTCGTTTAATTTACGTTCAATTTTATCCTTCGCGGCCTCAGCTAGTAACGCCTTTTCGCATAGATTCGTGTTTTCTATTAACATATTGTTCAAGTGTTCGGTCACTTGTTTATGTTTCTTGAGTAACTCGGAGTATTTAGCTCTCTCTTTGTCTAATTCTTCTTGTAATTGTTCGTTGTTCTGTTCGCTTATAGTCGGTAGTTTCCCGAGCAGTTGTAGTCTCAGCTCGTTAACCAAATTGTTCAACCTATAAAGGCGATTTATTATATCAAACCAAGTAGACGAATCGTATATAAATTATATAATAACAATAGTTTAATAATTATAAACAATTTTTCGCAATAATTTATAGTTTTTATTAATTTTTGTTACGTTTTTAATTAAAATATAACTGAGAAGTTGTAATAAAATTAAAGAATACATATTTATTTGTTTAAAAGGGAAACAGACATGACACACAAAAGGTCTTTTTGGTTAAATTTATTTCTTAGTTAAAAACTATTTAATTCACACAAAAACATCATTACTGATTACAGAGCTTATCAAATTTGGACTGCCCTCATAAAACTAAAAAAAATTAGTAATAAGTAGGTACACAACATTTTTTTAGTAAACATCTATCATCTCACTTTAACGCGTTGATTATTTTTATTAGTAAATACTTCAAAAAAGATTCCATAAAATTTCGCGACTAGTGTCTAAATAACATGATGTCTCGATTTCGATTCCACTAGCGTATTTTATATTTTAGCCGAAGTTTTGATCATGAAATTATGACCAGCAACAGTCAGAGACTACAATTTAAAAGTATTTTTTTGTAATGTGAAGAACTTAATGAAATATATTTTTTTATATCAAACTTCCCTGATACTACCTGACTATTGATCAGGTAATATTCACCTAATGATCAAGTTAGTCCTATGTGTATTACCTTACAATCTCAGCAGCCTTAGCATCTTGGTTAATAACAGGCTTATTCCGTATACGTCTCGCTCTGTCCGCGTAACGTAACGTAGATACGGTCTCATCCAGGTTGTAGTCAGCTGGACTCACGCACGCCACCATCAGTGTCAATGAATTACCGCCCAGACTGTCTGCAATATAAAATTATATTAGAATAATAACATTAAAATATACTGTGGTATAAAGTTACATAAATATTGTATATTGAATGAGTTTCAATTCAGTTGATGTCTACTTGATTCGTAGATTGATACTTAATATACATACTTGTTAAGGAAAATTTCATTTTATATCACAAATAATTCTACATATTATGTATGTATGTTGAGATTGTGACATAATTCTTTATTTATCTCCTAGCTTGTCAATGCAATATAATCACAATCTCTGGGATATACAATAGAATAATTTCATTAATAATAACAAATTGTCTATCTTTTAGTACATTACCTACACTTGAAGATGTAATAAGATAGTTTGAGGTTTAATAGAAAAAAGAATCTTTTCAAAAATGTTACATACTTACTTGTAATCTTGTAATATTTTTCAGTAGTGTTTTTATTTTATTTTAATAGGTTTTCCAACAATTGTTTACACCAATACAATGTAAAATAGGTATCTATAATCTATGGTACAGTACAGTGTAACAACTACTTAAAGGTAAACTCCGAATGCACACAAATTTAAATTAGTCTACTTTAAAAAACAATATAACAATTTTATCTCCCACTATAATAAGTACAAAAAAGTTTACAAAAAAAATGCATAGGAACAATGAAAATCACAATTAAAGTTAATTATAGTTTACCTTGTAATAATCTCGTGAGTTTGCTGTCTCTGTAGCTGATGAAGCTTCTATTTGTTCCATCGCCAAGAGCTGATATAACGTTCCCTAGAGCTAGAAGACCTTGGTTGATTTTCACACCTTCTTTGAGACGTTCGCCGCTAGCCTTAGTCTTCTTGATACGTTCTGAACCAGCCAGATCTACAAGATGGAACTTTGATGTTGTTGCGATATTTCTGAAATAAAAATATTAAGTATTATATACTAGCTTTCCGCCCGCAGCTTCGCCCGCGTGGAGTTCGGTTATGTCGCGTTTCCAAGAGAACCTTTCAAAAGTCTGGGATAAAAACTATATTGTTCTTTCTCAAGGTCTTTCTATCTCTGTACCAAATTTCATTAAAATCAGTTCAGTGGTTTAGGCGTGAAAGCGTAACAGACAGAGTCACTTTCGCATTTATAATATTATAGTAGGGATTCCTTCGTCGTCGGTAAATCAGAGCTCATTGCTGAGCAAAGGCGTCTTCTCACACGGAGAAGGTTTGAGCATTTATCAATAAACGCTTGATCAATATGGGTTGGTGATTTCAAATTTATAATAGTGAAATTATAAGTCCAGGTGTCCTCACGATGTTTTCCTTCACCGTCTGTCAATGATGTCTAAATACTCTTAGAAAGCACATATGACTCGGAATAATCACTTTGGTACTTGCCAGGATGGAACCCGCGCCCTCGTGCACGAGAGGCGGGCCTTTAACCACTAGGCAACCACTCTTTATATGTGAGAATACAAAGTGTGACCATTAGTAAGTTCGCCCGGAATGTAGTGGCAAAAAATTTGGTACAAAACATTTATATGTTGCCACTGAGAGCTGAGCAAGATAAGTCGAAATAAAACGATCTGCCAATTTGTCTGGTTAGCATGACAGTAGTAGGTCATTACTCCGGTCCAGTAATTGACTACTATACTGAATGGACTCTTATACTTATCCAATAATGGACTATATATAGGCTGTGATGACAGTAATGTTATAAATAATAAAATGACTTTAATGTCAAGTTTAAATAACTGGTAGTGACTATATTGCATATGCATATATAACTGACATATTTTTTCAATATTGTCTGCTTTTTTGTTCCGGTTAAGCTCTGATATACTATAATGCTTAATAATACTAATGTCAGAAGGAACAACTTGAGCAATTCATATTTGTTTATATAATTTTAGATATTAATAAAAAAAATAACTACATTTTAGCGCAGAAGTCGGGAACAAAGATAGTACTAAATATTAAGTATATTATTCATATCCATAAAGTATGCACTCCCTTAAACCGCAATTTTAGTTATTTCGGGTATAAAAAATTTATATACAGTAATAAATTTTAGATATTGATGGTTATTTTGAGATGGTTTGCATAAAAATGATCTTTTATGTATTAGTTATGCTAGCTCGGTATTGCTAAAATGATATGATGTCAAGTGTAATGTACATAGATTACTTTATTATATTATTTGCTGTAATTCAGTTTAGCTACTTAGCACAATACATACATGATAATAGTTTCATTGATTACTACATGAACCTTACATGTTTAACAATCAGACATAGAAGTATATTTTAATAATACTTACTTATCACTTCTGCTTTCTTTAGCAATGATGATTGTGAATACTGCATGACTTCGACTAGATGCTTGGTTCATTGCTGTTGAACCAGTCACTCGGCCAGATGATCCTCTCTCCAACACTGTCATAGTTTCACGAGTTGATGCAACGGGCAGCTCAGTTATACCTTGAATGATACATTTTTTTAAAAAAATACTTAATTTATAATTATATAATGTTAGAATAACAGTATTATTATTCCAATATTGCAGCACTAGGAATGAGTTTTTGTGATAGCGTCATTTTTTTTTATTATCACACCAAATAATAGTAAAAGTAATATCAAATTATTCAAAAACTCCAAAATGAATTGATGAAATGAATTATTCAAAAACTCCAAATAAATCTTGCTCATGCAAAATATTACAGCAGTTCACAACATTCATTAATAATTAAATTTATGCCTTAATTTCTTTTTAAATATAAAATATAAGTAAAAATAATTGTCTCATAAATGTATATCATTAATGTATATTACTTGTATAACTATGAAGAACATTATAAAAATATGATGAATATATGTTATACATACATGAAAATTACGACTATCTGTCACAGTTCGTTAGTTACTGCCTAACATACAAACACACAGTCTCAGTAACAGAATCTCATTTATAATTTGGTCATAGATAACAATAGAAAACCATCAACAAGTTCTCACCAGGTAAAATAACACCTTTGTTGATATCTTCCCTAATTTCTATAATACTATGACCTCTCTCCTTGCCGGAGAGCAGATCGTAACATTGTTCTTGATACAACTCCATGAAGGAAACGGATACTTTGAATATAAACTTGTCTTCATGGGTCTCGATGAAGTCAAATATATCAGCTACAGCTTGGGGAATTACACCTGAAATTAATATTAAACATATACAGGGTGACTGGTGAATTACTATCGATATTTGAGGACGTGGTAGTTGACGATCATATATGACAAAATAAAAATTAATATAACATAAATATTAATAAACTTCTAAGTAAAGTTAACCAAAAGTTATGTAATTAATTACGCATCGTGTGAACACCCTACAGATTAGGTATACACACACACTCACACATACGCAGCGGGGGCGTGGTTTTGTATCAGCACGCCGCCGTACGCGTCCACACTAGGAACACTTGGAACGTGTCAACACTTTATTTATTTATACGGAAATTTTGTCAAAAATTAAGTACCTATTTTTTTTACATAATTCGAATGAGAATCATGTACCGAGTATGCTCCTTAAATATTGATAGTAATTCACCAGTCACCCTGTATACATACATGAATTATTATCTAACTGTATTTATAATTTAGTGTTATATAGATCTGTAGAAAATAGATGTTAGCTTGGATCGGCCTTTCCCAAAGCTTGTGATAATTTCACTAAGCAATTATAAATTATTACTTTCAGTAGGTGAAAAAATAGGTGTCTTAAAAAATAATTTATTTTCAAAGTAGACAGTAGACGAAATAAGTTTAGGTGCCGCTGGCTTAGAAGTTTATAACAAATCTCTATTACACCTCCATTATTTTGCTGGCTTAGTATTGAAGGCTGAAGGCCTTAAAAGATTTAGTCATAGTATACTGTCAATGTTGTTTAACATGAGAAAGTTCTGTAAGATATAGCTTCATTTACCTAGTTTAGTTGAGTCACCGTCCGATCCAGAATAATTTGTTCCCATAGTATAGGTTTTACCCGACCCAGTTTGGCCATACGCAAGTATTGTAACATTATATCCTGAAAAAAACCATTAAGTAACATATTGTTCATAAATTTTTACCTATATACTTCTTGCTATAAGGTAAAAATCTATAGGATGTTATATTGTTTAAAAGTGTTATAAACAAAAAATATATGAAAGAATCTTTATTATGTGTTAGACTGTCATAATTGAAATTGATTTTAACTGACTTTTTTCTTTTAAATGGGTTGTTTTTAGCAATAAACTTTTTATAATTACAACGATTTTTACCTTGAAATAGTTTCGAGATAAGTCCTTTAACTGCTGTGTCATAAAACTCCTGCTGGTTGATATGTTGAGGAAAAACATAATTGTATGTAAAGGCCAGGTCTTTTATTTGCACCTGTTGCTCTCCAGATACCACGTCAATACATTCGTCACACCCTCGCTCTATTTCTGTTCTCATCAAAGGCCTTATCCTTAATGCCACCTGTACGGTGTCTATAGTACCCTTATTGGTTTCACCGTCAACCATTTTGTATTATTTCGAAAATCCTCAACTAAATCCAGGTCCGAGTTCCACCCAAACTGTTTTTCATGTCCTCTTAATCATGACCGTTATTCAATAATTTGACGGATTTTGTTTTGCTTTGTGTGTAGATTTTTTCTAGCCAACCAGTAACTAAATTTTTGCTAAGGTACAAATAGGTTTTAATTATTACCTTAATGCAGACAAGTTACTTCACTAATATAAAAAAATTATAATCGTTTCTTACAGAACAATAAACATAAACTTAAAGCTTTAACAGAAAGAGTAAAATGAAAAATACAGCTTCCAAATTCCAATAACTTTCAAAACTACAACGACTGTTATAAGGCAAGATTTAACGAATACAGTTTAAATGATTATTGCCATTGCAATAACTGTATCATTAATCACATTGCATATTTAGATTAAACAACAAATGACACTAATAAATAATATGAAATATATAAATACTAGTGTAATTAAAAAAGGAAATATTAAATGTTAGTAAGTGTGTGAATATACTCTTTAAAGTTATAGTTTTACTTGAATTTTTATTGTTACCTTATAAATTCCTGCAAAGCTTAACATTAAAAGTATGTATTATTTAGAGCTTATATTTTAATTCAACGTTTATCTTCCAAAAAACATTATTATCATTTTAATTCACTTGTTTATTTTTGCTATTTAGCCTGCGTGTTGTCAAAATGACAATTTTGAATTTCTATATTAGGTATTTTCTTTTGTTGTCTGTCCATTACTTAGTGTTAAGTGTTCAATGTTTATGTCAAACATCAAAAAAGGAGCGAAAATGAAAACTATGAATGTCATTATTAGTTAAATGGAAGCTTTGTAGTTATACTATCAATTAATAAAACGAATACATCTGTGTCTAGTTCTGAAAGTGTATATCAAGTGACTATTTTATTAACATCTGGTACTATCAAAATATGTGTTTCGATTAGTTATTCATTGCGTCATGCCAGTCAAAATTAAAAATACTAAAGCTTTAAAAGCTTCAAAAGAAAATGCGTGTGTTAAACTTAAGCAGAAAGTAAATACAGACAACAGTTTAAGACCTCAACGAAAAGTTTTAGGTGATAAAACCAACTCCGCTTCTGATGATAATGCTTCAATACTAACTAGTGAAAAACAACCATCAAAAACAGCACCTATTGAAAAGGCGGGTAAAGCATGTAAACCCATTATAACAGAAACTATTGAGAGGCCAAAAAGAGCAAGACGAGTGCCAACTCGATATATTGAAAATAAGGATGATAAGGTCAATTCAAAGAAATCAAATTCACCTTCACCGTCGGTTAACAAAAATTTAGAATCACCAAAACAGAAAGTGCCTATTGTTCTCTTGACTCCACATAAAACTCATGACAGCAGTATAATTATAAATCGACCTAAGAGAGTTTGCCGTTTACCAAGCAAGTTTGATGACAGCACCACAAGCCCTAGTAAGTTTTTATCAGTTCAACCAATCAATTCAAGTACTCCTTTACCTCCGAAACCTAAGCCCGTGAATCAAACTAAAAGACAATTGAGGTCAAAGACAGTATCAGAAAAGAAGTCACAACCGAAAAAAGTTGTTAAAAAAAATAGCAAGAGGAAAATTAATGAAACTCAGACTACACCTCACAAGTCACCAAAACAATCTCAGATAACAAGTTTTTTAAAGAAAAAGTTGTCAGACACAAACAATAATGCTAACAGTAATAAGAATAACTCATTTAAAACCTCACAGAAGTCGCCTGACAATAATAAAGTTTTAACTAAATCTGCAGCTGAGAGAAATAAAATCAGAAATATAGATTTCTCTATAAAATTATTAGATGATAAGAAATCACTTAAAAGAAGTTCCAATAAGGCTGACGTCTATGAATTCACGTTTGACCCTTCCGAAGAACCACCTCCAGCTAAGAAGCAAAAGAAGAAAAATGCCTCCAAAAAACCATCCAAACCTAGAAAAGTTACTTACAAAAGTAATTATGAGAAAAATTTAGCAAAAGCACTTGCTGCGTTAAAGAATACAGTGGCTCCAGATAAAATTTTAGAACAAAATCATAAAGAAGCTAATAATCAAGCATCAAGTACTAAAAACACTGATCCAAATCAAGTTATTGCTGATGGTCAAAAAATTAATGATGAAAATCAAGTTTCAAATCAAAAAAATGACATAAACCAGACTTTCAATAGAGTGGGAACAAATGATAATGAAAATGTGGATAATAATTATAATTCTGTCCAAGTTGAGGATGCAGCTTTGGATGTTCAGCCAGATACCGACAATATTAACTATTCTCCTGTTAACACTCCAACAAGACCAAAAACTCCTAAATGTAATGCCGCAAACACTACAAATATTGATGATCCTTTGAATTTGCAAGAGTTGAGCTTCTTTGATGACCAACCGGCTGCTAGCAGTAGTATGAATCAATCAATAAGACATCCCACAGCGAGTCCGTGGAGGATTGAATTTGGTAATTTGCCGATAAAATGGCAAGTCAACACATATGTAAAACCAAACATGACGCCGGCTCTCGAAAGTTCTTTTATTAACTTTAATGACACCAAGAAAAAACATGTCTACACTCCTATAGTACCGGTTAATGAAACATTACCTGACGTAACCGAAAGCCCTAACTTGAAGCAGACAAGCATAATTTCCTTTATAAAAGAAGTTGTAGAGAGAAGTGCTAATAAGAAAAAGAAAAAATCAAGTCCAGTGAAAAATAACTCACTCTTTGAAGATGTTACAAACTCATTTGTGAATATAGAAAATACACCGACTAAAGAAACATTACCAAGCTCAAAAACAAGCAAGACACCTAACAAAAATACACTCGTGGAAAATAATGCAAATAATGACTCTTCTATGGAAGACAAGGAAAATGACTCAGAAAGCATTGAAAAATCAAATGGAAAAGATAAAAATTTGACGTTTTTTGGTTTCGATGAATCCGAAGATCGAGAAAATGTTTCACCGACTAAAAAGAAACTTAGATCTACAAAATCTCAATACAGACGAGCTCTTCAAGAGCTTAATACTTTCAAAGGTCCATCCAGACCTGTGTTGCCAGTTGCTGCAAAAACTAATATACCACAAAACTTTGACAAAGCAAATGAACTTTATGAGAACATGAAATCTGCTACCGAACCTCCAGTTTTCCCTGAAATATCTATTGCTGGCAATATTGAGGTAACTAATGTCAATCCAACTGAAGACAATGAGGATTCACAATCAGTGCATCTGTTTGAAGATATTGAAGTGGTACATCATCACAAGGTATAAAAGTTTTATATACTAGTTTATATCTGCGACTGAATCCCCATTATCAATATTGTGATAAGGAAAATAATAAATATAGAATAAAAATCTTAATTAACTGTAAGAGCAATCTATTGTATTTTATCTTTAACTATTTTGTCTTATTTAACTATAATGTGTTCCTGCGAAGTACCTGGAATTAAGGGATAAATTATCATCTATATTTTATTCTGATGTGTAAGGTACATTATTTAAAAGTTTAACAAAATCCTTTCAGTAAATTTTACTTAAAGGGTGCTAAACTTACACATTTATTATATCAATAGGATTATCTAGTAATCTCAATTGGATTTTTTTCAATTCATGTCATTAATTAACTTTGTTTATGTTTTAACATTTCCAGCCAATACGCAAAAGCTACAGCAAGCCCAAAAGGGTGATGTTCAGACAAAGAGTTGATGATAGTGATGATAGTCGTAACACTGATGATGAACCAAGTGGTGATGAAATGGATGAATCATTCACACTCCCAACCGTCCAAATAAAAAAACCAACCAAGAAAAGAGTTACTAAGAAACAGAAGTTGTCTAAAAAGGAGGTAAGTATTTACAGTAATTTATTTATTTTATTTATTTAATGAAAGCAATTAAAAAGAAAGAAACTTTCAATCACAATACATAAGATCACAATGCATAATGCAATAATTACTCAAATTTAAAATGAAACTATTTATAAATGTATTATATATTACCTGAATTTTTTTAGTTGATTAGACATGAAATCTATTCATGCTTAATAAAGTTTTTTGGTAAAGACTTTCCTCATGGATTAAGCAAAACAAAATTTACAAATTGTAATATATATTTGTTTAATGTCTGAGATATTTTTTTAATTTAGTCCATCACACATATGCATACTTAAATAACTTTTAGTTTAAAAACTTTCCTTATAGTGACTACTTAAGTCTAATCATATACAATATTTTCAGTAAAAATTATAAAATAAAGATTATTGTGCTGTTGTACATTAATTAGAACCTTAAAACTTATCTAAAATATGTCTTGTTCACAGCATTTTTTAATATATAATAATATTGTGTTATTAAAATATGTGTAATGACAATATAAAATATTTTTTTTTCAGGAAAAAGAAGCAGAAGCATGGGCGGCAGGATTCAACTCGATGTGTGAAAATATTGAAGAATTTGAATTAGTTGTAGAATGATCTGTACATCACAAACTAACTTATTATTATTGTAAGAGGGTTATTGGGTCCATACAAAATAAACTGGGTATATTTATTCACATTGAAATTTTATATGTACAATAATTTGGTAGAAGTGTCTTCCAAAATGATCTTGTAATGCCATTATTTTTGTAATTTCATACATTTTACTAAAAATTTTATTAATCATGACTCACTTTTACAGAAATGAAATTAACATATAATTATGTCACATTTTAAAAAAATATATAATTTGATAAATCTTATGTTTCAATATTACTTTGAATCTATTAATAAGTTTTAAACACTTGATTCTAGTTATTATAATTTAAAAATTATTTGAAGAATTTCTTATAACATGACATTTAATATTTTAATTTTATTTAATAATATAAATGGTGTTGTATGCAAAATGCATAACATTAAGACTAGGTACATAAAATGTAAGTTAATAAATATATTTTATATAAAAAATGTGATTTATTTTAATATTTTATGATATCTAACAATATTATTTTGTATGTATTAACTTAATAATTTCATAGACACAGATAGTTTTATATGTATAGACAAAAAAAAACATTATGTATTTTTAAATTTTCTATGTAAAACGTGATAGTGTAGTTAAAAAATCAAAACAAGTTAAAGTGCATAAAATAAGACTACCATAAAACTAATAATAAATAAACCTTTTTTTTCATAATTAAAAATAATATTAGGATATAAGGATTTAAGTAACTGCCTTTCACTTTTGTCTCACTTATATTATTTGTCAAAATTAAGTTATTGTGTACTATTTTATAATAGAGATACATATATCTGGGCAAATTACCATAATTATATATGTAGAATTACATGACAAAATTAAACATGAAGTACAGTTTTGAACACAGCGAAATATATGTATATAGAAAACTATTATTAGTCAAAAGATTTTTTTTCAGCTTCCTCGTAAACAGATATTTACTGAAAAAAATACAAGTTAATCATGGATAAATTATGTACCAATAAATGGTAATGTAAAAAATTACAAATTAATTACTATTTTTGCTTATGCTATTTCTTCAGTCACTGGGATTGTGGAATATTTTGTCCTTGCCAACGGTTTTATTTATTGAACGAATTAAAATATAATTTTAAATACTGCTCGGAGAAAACAAGAAAATGTTTGTCTGATGGAATATGGCTTTATATAATACTTTAATTTAAAGACTCGAATTATATTTTTACTATAATCACCTAGTGGCTAGAACAATATAAAAATAACGTACATAAATAATATTTTAAGCAATTTATATAGTCAGTATATAATAAATTATTAAACAGGACTAAAGTTGTTCATCTTTAATGATAAAATTTTATTAGACAGAAATTGGACATCGTTTGACTACTATTCCGCCATTTGGTTGGTGGAAATAAATCCGAAGGCAATAAACGCAATTTGGAGAGTGCCTAGAGTTAAATCAAATAGTGTTAAATACTTAATAACATGAGGAATAACTAAAATTTTGAGCTTATAGTTAAATTAAAAATCCAATAGAAAAAAGGATGAAAAACCGATACGACTTGGATCCTATTCTTGCAGGACCTTCCGAATAGAATATTAATTTATTTAGTACTACTACCGCTGAAACATCCAATTTCAAATGAAGTCGCGAACAAACCGACTATAAAATAACATTTTCGATTGTTTTGTGGTGTCCATACTATAAAGCAGTTACTGCCACAGTGTGCCATCTGTAGGTAAAAGTCTAAACTAGTTTATAATCGGGTAATGTATATTGTTTCTTATGAAATGTATAGATGGCGGTAAAAACTCATGAGTTTGTAAAATATTATTCAATTGTTTTAAACCTACTAATAAATAGGGAATTAATTCATTACATTAATTCGTAAGGTATAAATAATGTTTGTATTATAGATTAATCAATAAAGAATAAGATGTAGTTTTGTTTTTGAGTTCACTTTGATTTTGTTTGCTTTATATATTTTGTATTGCTTTATAAATAATCGGCTGAATGGTGCTTCATCGAGGATTTAATTAATTTATTTAAACAATTATAAAAATTAATCCATTTAATAAAGTAAGTATCCCACTCGGCCCTAATGTGATGCCTGACGATATTAAAATGATTGCTCTTTGGCAAATATGGCGGGCGGCTGAATTATACAGCGGAAGCAAATATTACCCTCGCAAACATACGTCCCGGGAGAGCGAGCTAGTTCGCGCACTCAAAATTAAAAGCACACAATGAAAATACTATACAGAGAGCCCCTACTCCGATACCTATGTCGCGAAAAGTGAGTGCCTACTCCAAACCTCACTCTTAAAGCTACGAGGTGCTCGGCATTGTTGTCATTGAAAATAGTCGGCCAAGTGTTTTTTTGTTTATAGACTCTTCGATGTTGCCACTCCAAAATAAATAGTCACGGTAACGAGCAATATGCCCTAACAAGCTGTTGAAACGCTTTACTTACTGTCCGATCAATTCTGTTTGCAAATATTTTTAACAGCGCCTAATTGCCATTATTTTATTTACTTCATTACTTTGGCTTCGAAAAATATGATCTAATACGCTGTTTGACTACAGAAAACAATATAATTTTATCAATATAATATTTACTTTCAGTTACTTAAACACACGTTGAACTCAAACATGTATTAATTAATTTATGTAACTGGTTTGTTTAAAGGGATGCCTAGTTAATCTTTCAGTTATGCGACGTATTTAAAACTTCAAAGGTTCACAACAACTAGCTTAAATCCGATTCATTAACAAACATCTGGAGACAAAATAAATCAATGTTACAAACTAAACAATACGACAGTTGTAATATTTTAGTCATTTAATTAAAGGATGACCGCGCTCCAGGTTACTCGGGTCGGTAATATTAACCGCAATTCTCGGTCAACATTCACAAAATTGACACGTCAAATATTTGTAAGTTCGTCCTGGGACCACGATAAACGGCAAACAGAATCGTGTCTAGTCCTCCCTTAATTTCCGATGTTTCTACATGATCTCTATCCGTTTGTAATATCATACTTATCGTGTTAGAATAAGGTCTGAATTTGTTTGCACGTCGGCCGGCGAGATAGCCGCTTGTCAAAACAAAATGGCGCTGACTGTTTGAATTGGGCCGTATCTGTCGCGAGCGGAGATTCATTTTGTCGCCTTGCTTAAGATCGTAGTAGTGTTTCATACATATTGTCTTAGTACACACAGTGAGTGTGTGCCGGCGTGTCGGTCTTGCATTTAAAGCTAGCTACAAATTTGTTGTTTCAGTACAAATACAATGATGATATTGTTTGCAGTTCGACTTTGCGTTCAATCGAGGAGTTTGTTCAGCAGCAATGTACGACCTAGTGTCTAATCAACGCTAGTAACTTGATCACAAACAACAACCGAATACTATTGTGTTATAATTATATAGAAATAATATGTAGTAAAATTGGCACTCAATCGACTACAGTTCGATTGCAACAAACAAACAATAATTATAACGAATTGACAAGTATTTCTTTCAGTTTGTTTAAACAATTACGTAAACAGACAAAGTCCTTGAACTGTAAACAATAAAACTAATTATCTATTCAAAACGTTGTTATGCAAATTATCCTTTCTATGTAAACTGAATCAATCCAGTTGTTTAGTCTCCAAATTTACCTTTGATTAAAAACCACTATATGTGGCGTAAACACAAACTTTCAAAGAGGAGCATACTTGACAAATATTATATTGTAAACTTTACATTGCGATTGTAAATATTAAATAATATGTGTACAGGTAAATAATACTGTCGCTAGCCGCTGAGCGGAGCCTACCTGCCGCTCAGTGTTGCCATTATCATAAACCAAACACGTCAATATTTGTCCACACAAACAAGGGCGTAATTTTTAAATAAATTGTGGCATTTCGCGAAATTGTTTCCGCAAATAGAATTGTGAAAGAGTCCTGCGGATGTGCGATGAACTCTTTTTTTCCGTTCATTTTTAAATGAGTGTATTTTTGTGTCTGTAACGTCCGTACATATAATAAGACATGCATTTACTTTATTTACCTAATCACTAATAGATGGCGTTAGTCACAGCAAATGTCAAATTATTTAATTTCGTTATACTTATAAATTAGACAATTTCAATAAAAATGTTTATTATAGGAAGTGTAGATTTATCATATTGTAGTTAAGGTCACTTTAGTATTATTCTAACTGGGAAACGTTTAACTAGCTAAAATATATTTTAAATTACTACTTACTAGGCACCACCATGCCATGGTGTATTTAAGTAGATATCTACATTTTATAAATATACAAAAATAATGTTATTAGTAATTCCAGTTTCCGAACGTAGCCAATAAAAACTGCATGGTATAAAAAGAATACCTTTTCATTTAGCACGGAATGAAATTTGCATTCACAACTTTGTTATTAAACCGATTTAAAAAAAAGATTAACGCATCTATATAATGTATTTATATGTTAGTATACAATTTTAATAAATTTTATCAGTAGTTCCTTTTTCTTATTCACCTAATGACCGTATTCAAATTAATGATATATTTTGTTATTATAGGATTTTACATATTACGAAGTTAATTTCTATTGAGGTTAATTAGCAGGATAGTCTTTAAAATAAATATAATTACAAATCATACTTTAAACAATTTTAATCAAAGAATCGCTGTCTTTTCACATTTCTTCATTCCTGGCGCGTGGGTTCGATCCTGGCCCTGGTAAGTACCAATGTGATTTTTCCGAGTCATATGTAAGAGTATTTAGATATCACTGATTAATGCATTCCCAAAGAGGATTGATGTCAGGCAGGCGGCCGTTCGTAAAAATATTAGCCAAAACTATTCACACATCTAATGCAGACCCTGGCTAAAGCTGGGAAATTGCTAGGTTGAAAAAGAAGAAGAATCCCTGTCTTTTGACATTTGCCTTTCTTTTTTAATATATTGCCATATGAAAATATAAAAGATGTCTCTATAAAGACA